GAGGGTAATTTTTTTGGAAGTATATATAGTGGGTATTTGGTGGGTAGAGTGGTGTGTACAAATAGAATTATTGATATATGTAATGGCTTCTAAGATTTTTATGAATGGGCTTCCTTAGAGCAACTCCGATGCAAGGGTGTGGTCTCTTACACACCCTTACGCATGAGTAGGACCTACGTATTTCCTAATTTATTTTTATTTTCATTTTTTTATATCACTTTTAACTCACTTTTCATCAATTTTTCCTCCTCGAATCCCGTTTAAGGTCCATTTATGAACCTTATCATAGACATTGGTCTATTTTTACCTCTATCTCTCTCTTCTTTTTCATTTTCCCCTACACACCACTTCATCCAAATATTTATTCTATCTCTATCTCTCTCATATGCCGCATCAGTTGCAATGCACCCTCCCATTGGAGATGCTCTTAGACACAGTGGCGTATCCAGGAATTATCGTGAGTGGGGACGAACTCACACTAAATATTTTCTCACGCATGCCATAAATAGTTTAACACTTTAAGAAATATATTCTGAAATTAGTATTAGATAACAAAATATTCATTCGAAATAAACATGAAGTCGTATTTACCAAATTTCACTTTGTTAAAAATAAATTAGTCACAAAGTTTTTAATTTATAAATGAATTGAATAAGAGACAAATAAAAAATTAACTGTATAAAGTACGTGCAAATAACAATTAAGAATCAACTAGTTTAAATCATTCAGAAAAATTTATATGAATTATGTACATGTACTTTAAATTTGATTTAGCTTAAAAATGGAAAACATCAAAGAAAGGAGTTTTTTTCCGAATTAATGTTAATTAATTAATTAATTACGAAAATAGGGTTGGGTTAAAAGTATTTACCAAAATACTGCTGGTTTAACCATGGTCGGGCAAAGTCGCCCAACGGTTGGGCGACTTATAAGTCGCCAAACGGTTTGGCAACTTATAAGTCGCCCAACCGTTGGGCGACTTTGCCTTAAGTAAAAAATCGGGTCACGCCCCAAAACAGAACACTGCGTAAAACTCATCCCCAATTCCCCCCAAGGCGCACCGACGACAGACGAACGACCAGACGACCACGAGCTCGTATCCAACTCCGGCGAAGCTCCATCTCCGGCCTCCCCACTCCGGCTAACCTTCATCTTCTTCTGCAACACTCCTTCTTCTTTCTTCTAGGTAAATAAAACTCCATTTCATCTCATTTTGAACTTAGGGTTTTGAATGTTAAAAATTTCGAATTTTTGGATTATGAATTGATTGTGAATTAAGTTGTTGTGAAATGTGGATATGTATGAAATGTTGAAATTTGATTTTAAATTGATTGTAAATTTAATGTGTATTTTGACATTTGGGCATTTGGGTAGATTTGAATGTAGCTAAATTTGGGTATTGAAAGTTAGACGTGAATGTAGATATCAAAATTTTCGTAGTTTCACATTCAAATGTGAATTGTTTTTGAATTTTGACTTTTGAATATATTACAATTTTGGTATTTTTTTATATTGAAAATTTGATTGTGTTTAAAGTGTGTATATTGATGCCTACTCATGAATGTTGGACAATGAATTGTTATTAGAATATGGATTTCTCAAGCTTCCCAATCATATGTCATTGGGGAGGAAATTATTATGAGGATGCTGGCCAAATATGCCTTGAAGGTGGTAGAACCAGCTTTGTCATGGTTTCTCGTGGCGCTTGCATGCTGGAGATCCTTCAAAAAATACATGCAGCCACAATGATTCATCCTAGCCGTTCTTTGCGGTTGAAAATGAAATTTCCCATGAACGGGGGAAAGTACATGCTTATGCCCCTCATTGATGAGCTAGCTATAACAAATATGTGGGGCATAACTCAGATGGAAGATATGTCGACGCTTGAGCTATACATTGAGGAATCCTGTGACGCCTATGGTACTCAATCAACATCAAATGCTGTCGTATCTACGCATGATGTCAATGCAGGGGTGAATGCAGCGAACTCCTCAAAGGCTCCTGTACTGGACATGGTTATACAGGAAGATGGTAGGTATATGCACAACGGTGCATCATTTGTGGATGGGCAGGGAACTGATGATGATGCTGACGAGAACATCAATGGTGATGACATGACAGAATCTGATGAAGATGATGGTGATACTGTCACGAAAACAGCCCCGTCTAGCCATTTTACTAGAATTTATGATCTCCCTGAAGGGTTTACTGATGCGTGGATGAGTGGATCAGGTGAGAAAAGGTTTACCCCCGATGGTGAGTTTGAGGTCGGTCAACAGTTTGACAACAAAGAACAAGTCATCAATATGGTGAGGTTGTATTCTATCAAACGGAACCAATTTTATCGGGTGATAGAGTCCGATAAATACAAGTGGGTGGCACAATGCAAAAGGAAGAAAGAATGTGATTGCCCATGGAGAATACGCGCCACAAAGAACAAAGGCAACCTTGACACCTTCACAATTGTGCGTTATCCTGGACCTCATGCTGCTACGTGCGTTGGCAACACCGACACTACCGATCACGTGGCTTTGACTTCAGATTTCATCTCTAAAGATGTGATAGACATTGTTCGCACTGATCCTTCTCTTAAAGTGCATACTATCATTGAGATGCTGAAGGAAAAATATGGGTATATGGTATCATACCGGAGAACATGGATGGGGAAGCAAAAGGCCATAGCAGAAAATCTCCTAATTTTGTATCTTTATGAAACAGATTACATGGATGCCGTTTACACCTGAGATGTTAGCAGAGTTGCCACCAGCTGGACGAGAGCATACTCACATATGGCGAACACGTGTGCCGTCGATATGTTTTGACATTGTTGAGCTTCATTTGCCTGATAGAGTCTTGCGACAGTTTGGGTTTGAGCAGGTGGTTCCACGGCCTATCGACACTTATGTTGAGCTGCAAAGGCTGGATAGGCGTGGGAAGCATACAGATGATTGGGCACTCAGACATGTCCGATATGTGACTATGTGGGAAAGGAGAGCTGAGCTAGTTGTGGCCGGGACACCGACATATGTGCCATCTGTTTCAGGAGACTACATGGGATGATATTACGGCATCACTCGTTTGTTTGTGTCTCCTTCGTTCAGACTCCCTACTCATCATTATCAGCCTAGTTCCTTAGCTTTGCATCTTACGGTGAGTTTATTACTAATTAGTAAAGTAAGTCATTTTTATTTATGTAATATTTGTATATATTTCAATGTAAATGTAATTGTGTTTCATATTTCAGACACGAGCTTTGCAGCGCATACATCAGCGGGCTACTGTCACAGTGACTGATAGTCCTGATGTGGACTTGTATGGAAAGGCTCTCACAGGCATTGCGTCCTTGTGTTCAGATGTGTTGGGGCGAGTCGACTACGGCCATCTTATACACATGCCTCCATCTCAGGAGATGCCATCCACGTCTAGTGCAGCGGCGGCTTCATCATCCCAGACGCAGCATGAGAGAGTGGTTCTTCAACCACGACAACGGCGTAGGCGTAGACATGAGCAGCAACATCTCCATGACGAAGCTGACGATGGGAACTTGTAGTCTATCTTTTGTATTGTAGTTTTTCTTATGCAGTAGATGTTGTAGGAACAATTTACAACATTTGACGTATTTTCTCTTGTAAAGTCTTGTATGTTGTCTTGATGTGTTCGAGTCTGAATATTAGATGATTACTTGTTATGAATATTAGATGATTGTACTGTGTTATACCGGTTATGAATGTAAGATTTTGTATTTGATTTGTAAAGAGTATTTTCAAGGTGTTTTTTATGTTGATGAGAGGAGGTGTTATGTATGTGATTGAGAATACGTGTGTTGTATGTTTTATAATGTGTTTTATAATGTGTTGTATCTGGCTCGTAAACAGATGAGTCCGGGTTGAATTGGGACGAAAAATCTGCTGAAATGCTGTTTTTGGACCTAGGCACGATCGTGCGTTCCAGGGTACGCACGATCGTGCGTGGCTGGCAGTAGCTGCTCGCCTTCAACCATATTTTAGGGGTAAGTCACCCAACGGTTGGGCGACTTATAAGTCGCCAAACCGTTTGGCGATTTACCCCTGACCGTGGTTAAGGCCCAGCAGTATATTGGTAAATACTTTTTTTCCAGCATTATTTTTGTAATTAATTAATTAATTAACATTAATTCGAAAAAAAACTCCAAAGAAAATGGATAAAAACTAACATTTGTAAAACGGAAAGAAAGTGGATAAAAAACTAACATTTGTAAAAGGAAAACAAGATGGGTTTCGAACCCATGATGTGGGGAAGGATTAGCTGCGCATGCGGCTAACTTTTGCGCTGAACCATGGCCGTTATTGTATCCTATCTCATACGGAGTACTTAATAATTATAATATTCTTATTAAGCCAACAAACATATATATAATTATAAATTAAATAGGGTGATTTACCAAAACACGGGAAAAATGGGTTGGGGTTGCCAAAATACGGGGATTTTTTAGGGTTTACCAAAAAACGGGAGTCAGAACACCCACCTAGTTCCGACTAGAGGTAGGGTTTCCAACAAAAAAATCTCACTTCCTGTCGGATTAGCCACTTACGACTAAGAGTTTTTTTTTTTTGCCGAATTCTTAAGTTTTTTATTTTGAGTTTTAAAAACTAAAAGTTTTAAATTCTAGGGCTAAATTCTATCCATTCAAAATTTTAAAGTTTTTTTAGATTCCTGACATATTTTTTAAAATGAAAACTTAGCATTTTGATTTTTTGAGTAACAAAACATTTGATTGCTTTATATTGTTTTTTAATCCATTTGTATTGTGATTTTTTTTTAATTGCAATTTTTGTAATTTTAAGTGCAATTTTGATTTAATCCATTCGTCAAATTAGATACAAATTTGATTTTGTTTTAAGTGCAATTTTGTAATTTTAATGGAAGTGAACAAAACAAATGCAGTTTTCAATGTTATTTATTAATGAATAGACAGTACATACAATATTAAATTTAATACTATATCTAACGTTGCGTGTTTGGCCCTGCTCCGTCCCCACCGCCAGTGTTCCAAGGCCCCGTTGTGTCTCCATAGTAAAACGACGAATTCAGAAATGACTCAACATAATCACCCACTTGTGTGGAGCACTGATAAGAATCATAATACGGCGGTGGTTGATCAAATGAGACACCTTGATGCGTTGAGAATTGAGGGGGTGGTTGATCAAATGAGACACCCTGTGTTGAGAATTGAGGGGGCGATTGTGAGTCCTCCACCCCCAGTTTCATGTTCATCTGCATCATCCTCTTCGTCACTTCCACCTTCATCTTTATCTTCATAATGGAATATGCCCCGGTGGAGCATCTCTTCATCACCTACGTCCAGGGCCATCCGCCGTAGTCGTTTTTTACAGTCCTCATAACTCGCGCGGTCGGCTAAGAGCTTATACACCTCGTGAACGCCTTGCTTCTGCATAAAAATGTAACACGTGTAAATAATATGACACGATATATGTTAATGAATATGGCATGTATTCAAAAACTTACCACAATACCCCAATCGTGTGATGTCGGGGTGTAGCCTGTCGTGGGCACATTGTGAGAAGGGTTCTGGACACGTGTCATACCATGCTTCTTGTACCATTTTCGGTACCTATTAGTTGCTTCGAGGGACATATGTCGATCATACTCAAGAAAGTATATATTATGTTGTATGTCCGCCCACATCGCCAAGGCACCGGTTACTATGTTGGAACAATTGCCGTGATTATCAGTACCCGTCAAAGGAGCATTCAGAGTATCTTGCCTTATATGGAACTGCCGAAGAAATCGATCGGGGTAATGCATTTCGGCCATATTGCAAAATATGAGCATGACCCTAGCCGACCAAAGCGGAGCTTCATTAAGGATGAGAGGTGGGAGTGTCTCGGACGCGTAGGGAGTGAAATCAAATTGTAAAAAGTTTAATTTGCAATTTAAGAACTATAAAACAATGTGTATTGAAAATTGAATAGTACGGTTGAAGTAAAAATTTCAAGTATTACCTGACTCTCACTCATGCGGTCTAGGTCATCCCGGTACAAGCGTATGCAATGTCTTGGGGATCCATTATATGACTTGGGGACGATCCACCTACATTTATTGATTACCGATATGAAGTTAAAAAATGTCGTCATATAAAGCATTCTCAATTATTAAGATGTAATTGCCAACATAACTGCACCCATATGGAAGATGGTCATGTTGAATGACCTGAAGTACTGAGGGATGGACCATCGAAATCCTCGACCAAGCCCAAATCTGTAACAAGTGCATACAACCGCCAACTTGTTTGGTTTCCCACTTGGCGCCATTGCACAAGTTATGGTAGAGGTACCCGAGAACCGCTGATCCCTGACTCCATCGACAGGCTAAAGCCAAATCACCCTACAAGACCTCCAAAAAGTACAATCATATTCTTGTCCCACTCGTGTCAGGGAACAAAAACCCTCCAAGCAATTGCCATATTAGGGTCCTGATGTGTTCGGTGACCTCTTCGTCTGTACTGTCAGGTAGGATCGGGTGACGGGTAACAGCACTCATGGTGATATCACTCGTGCGCATATCAGTCTCTAGAGGAGTGAAACCACACGACTGCGTGCACAGGTCGATCCACTGAGCCTTATCCTTAATGGTTGGACCACTGAGGGGCACACCCTGAATGGGCAAACCAAGGATCATCGCCATCTTGTAGACTAATGCCGACCTCACCGAATGGAAGATGGAAAGTATGTGTCTCCAGCCTCCATCTCTCCACCAAAGCGCATATTAAACTATGATCCACCTTCATACGGGCAATGTGCTCTACCCCCAAGAACCCAGCATATGCTAACATATCTATCACTCTTTCATCTCGCTCTTCATATCTGAATGCAGCTTAAGGGCAACTGACGGATTTCAAGCACGAGTCATTGGCATTTGGTTCATACCATACACGGTCCGCACGATGGGCACGCAGTGGCAATGTGAGTAGTGAACGGTTAACAGGCCCTGAGCGCGGAATGTTTTGGTCCATTTGAAATTCCTAAAATAAGTTGTTATAAATTACTAATTTCGAAATTGAACTATAAATCTAAATTGAACACAATTTATAAATTCATAGGTTTTGTACTCAAATTCTAAATGTAACACAATTTTTAAATTTGTAGATTTTTATAGCTAAGTTCAACTCTAAATTCACAATCTAAAATTAAAATCTTAAAAGTTACCAAAATAACTAGTAATTTCGAAATTAATGAGTAAAAGTCCAATTATTATAGTAATTTTTACTAGTAATTTTTATAGTAATTTCAACTATTATAAATAATAAAAAGTTAAAATTAAAGAGTAAAAGTCCAATTTGACAATCTAAATTAAAAATTTACAAATTACTAAATTAACTACTTGTACACTCCTAAAACCGAAACTTAAGGCAAATCCTAAATGTAACACACTTTCTAAGTTTCAAGTATTTTATAGCTAAATTTTACTCTAAAAGTCCAATTTGACAATCTAAATTAAAAATTTACAAATTACTAAATTAACTACTTCTACACTCCTAAAACCGAAATTTAAGGCAAATCCTAAATGTAACACACTTTCTAAGTTTCAAGTATTTTATAGCTAAATTTTACTCTAAAAGTCTAATTTGACAATCTAAATTAAAAATTTACAAATTACTAAATTAACTACTTCTACACTCCTAAAACCGAAATTTAAGGCAAATCCTAAATGTAACACACTTTCTAAGTTTCAAGTATTTTATAGCTAAATTTTACTCTAAAAGTCCAATTTGACAATCTAAATTAAAAATTTACAAATTAGTAAATTAACTACTTCTACAATCTAAATCAAAAATTAACTAACCTCGAAATTTGGCTGATCCCAAAGGTTTGATTTGGTTGAGAGTACTCTTGCTTGGGATTGATAAAATTGAGATTGAGTAATGATGTAGGAATGAGTGTTGGGATAAAAATTTAGAATCTATTTATAAAAAAATAGAGTTGGGAGTTGCGTAGATTAAAGCTGGTCAAGGAGATGCCTCCCAGTCGGATTTGGCAGTTCCGACTGGAGGAGGGCCGTTAGATTAAAGCTGGTCAAGGAGATCCCTCCGAGCAAAGGATTAAAGTTGGTCAAGGAGATGCCTCCCAGTCGGATTTGGCAGTTCCGACTGGAGGAGGGCCGTTAGATTGTGATTCGCGCGCTTCTTCAAACGATTAGGATAGGATAGAATGTGTTTGTTTAGTGGAGTTAGGCAGGAGTATTCAATTATAGATCCGACACATTATTGAATTATTTTACAAATATGGTTGGCGACAATATTAATTGATTAAATTATATCTGATAAATTTTATCTGATTATATTTATCTGATTAAATTTGATCATATTGAAATTATCTTATTAAATTTTATCTGATTATATTTATCTGATTAAATTTTATCTGATTATATTTTATCTGATAAGTTTTTCTAATTAAGTTTATCTGATGGAATTTATGTGAACAAAAATTTCAGATACAATGAAAAAGAGAACAAATATTTCATTAGTAATTGGATGCAAAACGAAAAATCCAACAAGGTATACATTACAATATTACTCATTTCCTCTCCTTGTAGCACGCAAATCCACTTCATTAGTAAATCGAGTTCTCTGTGGCCTAGCGGCTCGAGCCGATCTATAGTTTGTGGGCGGGAGAAGTGTATGCGGTGTTTCTGCCATGACATTGACGTAATTATTAATAGGCATAATATCGGAAGCGCACGTCCGGATGTACGCATTTAACGAATACACAGCTGGGATGAGGCCGTCTACGGTTATTTTTAAAAACCGACAAACTGCATATGCATGAACACATGGCATCCCATTCTGCTTCCAATACCCGCACCCACATGCATGCCTTGTCAGATCGATTGTCACTGGATCATGCGAACTAATAGCTACAGAGTAAATTCCCGTTGTTCGATTGTGCGGGACAATAGTTGTGTGATACCTACGCTGTGACCGCTCCAGAACATCCTTCCATATGTTCTGTGGATACAAGAATCCAGCTTGGTACCACATTATTCCCGCATTTCGTCGATCGGTAAATAGTTGGACGACTTTATCGAATGTGGCCTTTACTACATATCTTGATAGGCAATGTGCGACATCCCTTTAAGACATTGTTAAAACTTTCAGAAAGGTTTGTCGTCAAAATGTCATATCTTTTGCCATCGTCATAGCTCAGGGTTCACATCTCAACAGGAATCTCATTCAAATATAAAAAGGCACTCTCATTTATGCCTCGTATTTGTTCCATACAGTCGTCAAATATAAAAAGGCACTCTCATTTATGCCTCAATTGTCTGACATATCTTTGACCAATGAATAGTGACTGTGAAGTTGTTTTTGGGATGGAGGGAGTATGAAACATGAATATCAAATTTTTCATATATGTCTGACATTATCAGTTTAATGCTGTAGTCCGGGTCGACTTTTGGAGCGATTTCACTCGCTATGATCTTGGCCGTTAGGATCCTATCATCCCGAGCCGTGACAGGATCCTCCCTACAACTGTGATGGGGTTGATATTTTTTTACTTTCCACTTTTTTGACGTCATAGCTTCTCCTGCTTGGATATGCCAAGTGCAAAGGGTCGGGTCTATGCAAACCGCCTTCCAGGACCGTGACCTTTTGTCAACCGATATGAATTGACGAAATTGATGAATGTTTTCTCTCGCCACCGCTTCTTTCGATGCATCATATGAAGGGTAAACTGCGTCGACTTCGATCCTTTCAGGCTCAGAATCTAGCTCATATGGTTCTTCTAGCTCTAGATTGGCCCAGGTGGTGTCTACTGCCTCGTCATTATCATCCCTCGTGGATGAATCGACATCACTACAAAAACCTTGTTCATAGTCTGGGTCGTCCGACTCTTCACCCGAGTCTGGATGAATTCATAAGACTTAATGGGTCAGATTTTGTTTAAACGCGTTATATTATAAAATGTGAGTTTATCTAATTCAATGAGTTAAAAATTACTAAAATAAATACTTCTAAACAAAATAATTTTTTTCTCAAATATAAAATTTCTTAAAATAACAATGTAATTTATAAAATTTAATTTATATAGTTTTTTAAAATAAAACAAAATATTTCTTAAAAAAACACCCCCTAGTCGGAATTGGGCTATCCGACAGGAAGATTTTTTTTTTTACATTTTAATTCGACAGCACTAAAAATAGGCATATAAAAATTTCTATAAAAAAACCCTGTCGGATTTGAGAATTCCGACAGCATTAAAATTCATTTTTTATTTACATTTAAAATCTTAATTTATATAGTTTTTTAAAATAAAACAAAATATTTCTAAAAAACACCCTCTAGTCGGAATTCGGCTATCTGACATGAAGATTTTTTTTTACGTTTTAATTCGACAGCACTAAAAATAGGCATATAAAAATTTCTATAAAAAACCCCTGTCGGATTTGAGAATTCCGACAGCATTAAAATTCATTTTTTTATTTACATTTAAAATCTTAATTTATATATATTTTTTAAAATAAAACAAAATATTTCTAAAAAACACCCTCTAGTCAGAATTGGGCTATCCGACATGAAGATTTTTTTTTTACATTTTAATTCGACAACACTAAAAATAGGCATATAAAAATTTCTATAAAAAAACCCTGTCGGATTTGAGAATTCCGACAGCATTAAAATTCATTTTTTATTTACATTTAAAATCTAAATATGTTTTGGTGCAATTGGACTCAATGCAGTTGGACTGCGACAGATACCAAAGTCACAGATAAAGATAAAGGACATTAATGAATTTGTACAGATATGGTTTGGACAGAATAATGCATTTGGTAGATGCGAGAAATATAAAGGAAATATAATCAGATAAATTTTATCAGATAAATTTTATTTGATTATCTGTTAAAATTCGATAATATTTGTATCTGAATTACAAAGATATATTAAGAATAATATACACTAAATTAAAATTCCAATTTCACAAATCAAAATTAAAAAAATTACAAATTACTAAATTAACTACTTCTATACTCCTAAAACCAAAAGTTAAGGCAAATTCTAAATGTAACACACTTTCTAACTTTCAAGTATTTTATAGCCAAATTTAACTCTAAAATTCTAATTTAACAATCTAAATTAAAACATTTACAAATTACTAAATTAACTACCGTAATCTGGTAATTTCCTCAATTAAATATATATATGGTTTGGGTGGGGTTGAGTGGGGGCAGCTGCCCCCTGCCCCCACGCTGGATCCGCCCCTGCTTAGACATCTAGAAGTACAGATTTTTATGCAATATAATAACAAAGATTCATTAGTTTGCTTTTTGAATAGTAATGCTATTGATTTGTTCGCAGAATGCGCAATAACTGAAACTCGGAAATTTGAATGGCCATACATCTGATCTTGTTTTATGTTTGGGAAAATCGCACTTTTAGTCCCTGTAATAGTCACCATATTGAAATGTCAGACCCGAATTCTCAAGTTTGTAAATGTCACCTCTCAATTATCCAAATCGTGGTAAATGTGGTCCTTTAGAGGTGAAATGAACAATGTGAGCGAGGAGTACATTTCACCCCTAAAAGAACCACATTTACTTCAATTTGGACAGTTGAGGGGTGACATTTACAAACTTGGAAATACAAGGTTAACATTTCAATATGGTGACTACTTGAGGGACTGAAAATGAGATTTTCCATTTATGTTTGAAGTCATGATGCTCATGTCTGATAGTGGTGATCTAAGTTACCAGAGATGCATTATACTCTATTGATCCATTCTAGTTTTATGTTTGATGCTCACTGTAAAAGGGATCAATAGGTCTCTAATATGCAATGTGGTCATAAACCTTGAAATGGGATGTTTATACTGATTTTTTTTATTTGAAATTAGTTTTATAAGTGAGGATTTTAAAACTAAAGCACCACTGTGGAATTATAGGAAATTTCTGTTGTGGGACAATCGTACAACAAAGGTTTGTTTTTTGCCCTCATCTGATGAATAAAAAAGTTCACTGGTTCTCTCTAAACTTAAGCTGCAAATATAAAATAAAAACCTTTCATTTCAAAGAAACGTTATTCCCCATTTTGCTAACGAAAACACCTAGTTAGTGTTTTGTAATGATGTGCACAGTTTTCATCTTCCTCTGGTCTTCTGTGGCAGTGTCTCTTCTCTTCATATGGATTCATGCAAAGTTCATCGCCTTATCCATCTTATTTATGTCCCGTTTCTTTTTTGAGGATTTCCATAGTTTCTTATTCATTAATCTTCTCCATTTTTTAACATCCCACTCTCCCAGAGTTCTTTGGGAATTTACCCTTCCCGTTTTTCCTATTTTTATTGGAATTTATGCTAGAACTTCACATATAGCGTTCTGAGTTCCAGAACACAACCCAAGGTATTCTTGGATAACTGGAGGATCATGAATGGGAAAGGACAAAATGGGGCATTGTATGATGTGGAGAGAAATTTAAGTAACTTCGGTGGTGACTGATGATGGTTAAGTGTCACAAGATTGATGATGGTTAAGTGCCACAAGATCGAATATTTTGAGTTGGTGGCAATAGGAGATGATGTTTGGTGGTGGATATAGTCATATATTGATGCATCAGGTTGTGGTGTTCAATGATGACAGCATCCATTAGTGGTGGATAATGTCACTTGGTGGTGTATGTGTTTGTGTTAGGTGAGGACAACATTACTAAAATAGGCGGTGGTGAGGATCCAAATTCCCGCTCCCATCTCATAGAGTGAAACAGGTTTTTTCCCATTTTGTGTTGCGACTTTAGAAGTTGTGGTTTTGGGCTGTGTTGCAACACAATTATTATTATTATTATTATTATTATTATTATTATTATTATTATTATTATTATTATTATTATTATTATTATTATTATTATTATTATTATTATTATTATTATTATTATTATTATTATTATTACTACGCACATTAGTTTAACAGGAAATTATTTTACTAAAATGAAGAAGCTAACAGTTACCTTCGTCCCATTAACATAAGTGATGAGGATGTGCCATAACATAAGGAGAGAAATTGAAACTCCCATGGAAAAGAGTAGGGCTGGGTCCGAAAAACCGAAACCGAATCAAATTAAACCGAACTGCAACCAAATAAAATCGAAGCGCTAAGAAACCAAAACCGAATGTAAAAAATCGAACCGACCCAAAGTTGTTCGGTTCGGTTTTGGTTTTTACCTTTCAAAATCGAACCGAACCGAACAAACCAAACTATTTAAAATATGAAATTTATATGTTAATTGTTAAGCATTAATTCTAATTAATCTTAATATCATCAATAGTCTTTGGTTTTCTTGTGTTAGAGAAATAATGTTTGTGTTATGTTTAATTTAATTTTGTTTATAAATTCATTTACACATTCATTGTCTGTAATAATAGTTATATTGAATTATGATCATATGTGTTTACTAGTTATTAGTAGTAATTAACTTTTATTTTTAGATAGCTTAAAGATTTTATATTGATAAAACAATAAATATTCATCTCAACTATATCACATAGAACATATATATTCATGAAAATTTTTCAAACTACTCACAAACAAATTAAATCAATAATATATACAATTTTATCTATCTCGCATACTCATATAATTCAAGACATATTTGTCTCTTCTAATTTTTATTTTATTTGTTGTTGTATTGTGTTTGAATTCTTTATGTAATATGTTTGATCCCTCTAAGTATTATGTCAATTTTAAATCAAGTGAAAAAATTTTGGTAAAAAAACCGAAAAAACCAAAACCGAACCAAAACAAATTGAACCAATCAAACCGTGGTTCCAAGTTTTGGAGTGTAAAACTGAACCGAACTATTTACTTTGATTCTACATTTGGTTTTAGGTCAAAACCGAACCTCAAGAACCGAACCCACCCCTAGAAAAGAGTCTTTGTGTTTTGGGAAGAACGGGAAATTCCCGCTTACCCGTCAGTCCAAAAAGTGGGAAAGGACCATTACAACTAGTAATGTCAAATCAGATTGAGAAAAAATGCGCGGAAAAAAGTTGGCTCTTTCTCTTTCTGTTGAAAAATAATGATTTTAAAAACAAGTCCGTTTTATTGTGATAAACAATCAAATGGACATATTTTATGTTTTTCATTGGAAGTTAAACAAATCTATTGCTTTGAGAATCTACTAAGAAGTAAGCACACACCATTCAAACACCAGTGGATGATCTTGACAGAATAATGTGAAAAAATGCTCAACTTGCCAAGCATTGCTTTAGTTATTGCAGAATATATAGACATACATATTCCACAAAAAGATAGGAACTGTGAGCTGTTAAAGATCAAAGTGCAGGGTCTGCGATGTATACAAAGGAAACATGCGGATTTTCTCGTGAGTTCTCCGTGCTTTAACCATCCCTTCACAAATATGACATGATATTCTCTACTGCTCTGGGTCTTGCCTAATCCCGCCACAACAAAAGAAGTGTGGTAATTTGACTCGGCCACAAACCCTACAAATTAGCAAAAGGTGTTACAGTCAAATGATTCAGAAACAAACAACAGCTCCAACAAATTATTCTAGTATATAAATATGTAGAAAGAAAACTAAAAGACATGATTGTAGAATGAAAACTACAACGGAAAATAGAATTCCATCTATAGAAAAGACATGTTTGAACAAGGTGCATTTTTTTATTTTGTATGGTACAGATCTTAACAGTCATCCTTCAAATATTTTTTCAGTTTATTAGTTAGTTGAACTAAAATTGTTACATGATAAAAGCAGCTGCAATTGGAGAAACATGGCTCCTTTATGGGAGTTGGGATCCCCAAAACTGTGTCTGAGACAATACTCTTTTTTTAAGAAAAAATTCATGGTCATGTAAAATAAGAAAAGTTGAAGGCAGGTAAAATTATGAAACATTGGTTTTCAACTCAACCCTAGAAGCACTAGATCTGTAAGCCCTTACTTGCAACAGATAATAACTGGTTGAGGTTTCAGCGCCTTTGGTCCATTTCGTATGCCTCTCTTATGACGAGAAACCTGCAGCGTTTAAGGACAATAATGTTATCCCTGAATAAACATAAATGGAACTAATGTAGACACTTTTTTGGGGGTCCTTGGACAATCATAGCATTCTCATTTGTATAGTAGACTAGATATTCATAATTCCAGTTTCAAGTCCAGAGAATACCCATAAAATGGACAAAACACTTTTGGTCTCTGATAGAGATCAAGAGAGACAGCCACTTAACAATACTAGAATAGTATTACTTACTTTGATAAGGTGTACACTAGAAGAGGGAAGGGTATTAGTAAATGGAGTAAATGGCTGGCTAAATTGAAATGGGGGGGGGGGGGGGGGGGGAGAATACTATAAATAAGAGGTGGAGTAGACTCAATTAGAAAGGTTGGAACTAATTGAAGTAGTTGGGACTGGGAGCTGGCATTCTCTAACTGCCTAAATTCTGTTTTCTGTTATACGGCCTTTCTCCATTGTTATGCAAGTCTCTTTTCATCATTTTTATTCTCTCTGAAACTAGCCTGATTGGGTTTGAACCTATCACTCTGCACATTAAGAACTTGTTGTGTGCTCCACCACAGTTCCAAAATCCCAAAATAGGTTTGCGTATTCAAAATATCAGAAAAAGATAGAAATAAAAACAAGAAGTGAAATAGGCAAACTCAAACCAGTGATGTTAATAGCGGCGCTATAGCGCGCTATAGCGGTTTAGCGGAGCGGCAGACATGGAAGGCGCTACCAGGAGGGCTGTAGCGTGGCGTTTGGGTGTAGCGGCTATAGCGCCCGCTATAGCGTTGGTGCGGAGAAGGTTTTCGCGGCCGCTATAGCGGCGAGATTTGTGGTAAAAGGGTTGCGAGGGTTTTTGGCGTTAAAATTTTTTAGCGCAGAGGTATAGAAGGGGTAAACTAGACTTTTAAAACAAAATATTAACTACTTAAAACCCTTACACGTACGTAAAAACTCACGACTCCAGGTTTTTGGCGTATTTTTTTTTATGCTCTGCGATGCTTTCTTCTCCAAGAAAGCCCTGTTTCTGCTTTGCGATTGGTTCTTCTCCAACAACTACACGTGCTGCCCTCCTCTTCCTTCTTTCTTCTCAGTAGTTTTTTCTGCTGCAACATCTTCTTCTCCAACTTTTGCTGCAGACCTGCAGTGAGTCTTCTTTTCTTCTTGTCATTATCTCGTATGGAGTCTACTGCCATGTTTAAGCCCACATGAAAACACCTTGACCCAGCTTGGAAGTGGAACAGTTTGACTGTTAATATATCAAGGCTTAAACTCTTAAACTAAAACCTTATTTTTGATTCAATGTTTTGACTTAGGATGTTTTAATCATTAATAACATTTTTTGTTTTGCTCATGAAACTAAAGAGTATTTATAAGTAATTTAGGATTTATGAATGCTAAGATGTTTGCAACTTCATTGACATATATCATACTTTTTGAACTCAATATGTGTATGTAATGTATAATATATGCTTCTAGCAGTTACTTATTTTTATATTTGAAGTAGCCTAAATAGCGGTCATCCCGCTATCCGCTATACCGCTATAGCATTTTTGGGGCTGGCCGCTCCGCTCCGCTATCTGGGATTGACAACACTGACTCAAATCACAAGGTGCCATGCTTAAAAAAGGAAAGGTAAGCATGCAACAACATCAATGACAATATGAATCATCATCATCATTACCCCAGGGCCGCAAAGGCTCCCACCTACGGTGGGGTAAGGGAGGGTCGGATGTACGCAGTCTTACACCTGTACTAAAGCACAGAGAGACTATTTCCATAGTGAAAATCGCGTCGCAACACAGCCCAAAACCACAACTTCTAAAGTCGCAACACAAAATGGGAAAAAAACCCTATTTTACTCTATGAGATGGGAGCAGGAATTTGGATCCTCACCACCGCCTATTTTAGTAATGTTGTCCTCACCTAACACAAACACATACACCACCAAGTGACATTATCCACCACTAATGGATGCTGTCATCATTGAACACCACAACCTGATGCATCAATATATGACTATATCCACCACCAAACATCATCTCCTATTGCCACCAACTCAAAATATTCGATCTTGTGGCACTTAACCATCATCAGTCACCACTGAAGTTACTTAAATTTCTCCCCACATCATACAATGCTCCATTTTGTCCTTTCTCATTCATGGTCCTCCAGTTATCCGAGAACACCTTGGGTTGTGTTCTGGAACTCAGAACGCTATATCTGAAGTTCTAGCATAAATCCCAATAAAAATAGGAAAAACGGGGAGGGTAAATTCCCAAAGAACTCTGGGAGAGTGGGATGTTAAAAAATGGAAGAAGATTAATGAATAAGAAACTATGGAAAACCTCAAAAAAGAAACGGGACATAAATAAGATGGATAAGGCGATGAACTCTGCATGAATCCATATGAAGAGAAGAGACACTGCCACAGAAGACCGGAGAAAGATGAAAATTGTGCACATCATTACAAAACACTAACTAGGTGTTTTCGTTAGCAAAATCGGGAATAACTTTTCTTTGAAATGAAAGGTTTTTATTTTATATTTGCAGCTTAAGTTTAGAGTGAACCAGTGAACTTTTATTCATCAGATGAGGGCAAAAACCAAACCTTTGTTGTACGATTGTCCCACAACAGAAATTTCCTATAATTCCATAGTGGTGCTTTAGTTTTAAAATCCTCACTTATAAAACTAATTTCAAATAAAAAAATCAGTATAAACATCCCATTTCAAGGTTTATGACCACATTGCATATTAGAGACCTATTGATCCCTTTTACAGTGAGCATCAAACATAAAACTAGAATGGATCAATAGAGTATAATGCATCTCTGGTAACTTAGATCACCACTGTCAGACATGAGCATCATCACTTAAAACATAAAACAAGATCAGATGTATGGCCATTCAAATTCCCGAGTGTCAGTTATAGCGCATTCTGCAAACAAATCAATAGCATTACTATTCAAAAAGCAAACTAATGAATTTTTGAAATCAGGACCAATCAACAGCATTCCTATCCAATGTTGATTAGGACTTTTAAAGAGGACATTGCATAAAAATCTGTACTTCTAGATGTCTAACTGTCTAAGGAAGCCAATTCATAAAAATCTTAGAAGAAGCCATTACATATATTACTTAAGAAGAGTTGCAGTTCTAAGAGGACAGGGTCAATTGATTAGGACTTTTCTATAAATAGAATGGAATTCTTTAATGCATTTTATACTCTAATTATTTGATGTATATTGTGATGCTATTATCACTTCTCCCCCAAGCTCTAACCCAAGGACCCAAAGTTTCAATTTAATCATCAGGAAGTTTAGGAACTAGAATGGATCAATAGAGTACCAAAGTTTGGGAGGAAAATTAACTAGTTTAACACTTCTTTCCGGTCTCAGGCAATGCACCAATAGCCTGAGAATAAAAAGGGATTTCTATGCAATTAAGTAGTTTAGCACTTCTTTCCAGTCTGCCTCTGCAAGTATGATAAATGGAAAACAGAAACATAGCAAATGTAGTATAAACATATGAAAGAGAGACAAGATTTATTAACAACGGTGATAAGGTTATTGGAGAAAGAACCTTCTTTTTGGGGACGGCCATTAGTTCCATAGAGCCTTCGAAGAAAGGGATGTCTTGGAATCCGTATCGTGTGCTGCCTTCATTGCCCTCCTGAGATTCGGGCAGAGCCATAGTTGGCGATGTGAACAGCGGGTTGCGGATGTCGCCGTCCATTTGAGCCGGTCGAGCAATGACATGAGCAAATCTATGCACGTTGAACGTGAACCTCAAACTGTACCCACTTCCCAAGCAGGTCCTTGCACTGGATACCCTGAAAGCCATTTCTCTATAGCGTGCGCTTCAGCTCTACGCTCTTTGCAAAGAGGATTCACTGCAATTCTTTAGGGTGCGAAGAAGGTGGGTTGGGAACTTGGGAATAGGTGTCTATGCAGCCCAAAAACTACATTCATTCCAATTTTAATTTGTGATTCAAACGCTTACCAACTTAATTCGACCAAATTTGACTTGACATAACAAGTATAATAATATAAAGTAAAAAAATTGTGATTTGAATTTATGTAGAGAGAGGATTAATTTTTATCACATTAGAAGTTTTACATAGTCATCTAATAAATTTATAAGCCTCGTTTCCAAATGTAAAATCGAGGCACCACATTAATATAAAAAATTAAAAAATCTCAATCTAAATATTTATACTTAAATCAATTAAATACTTATTAAATAATGTAATGAAAAAAAATTCTAAAATTACTTAATACTTGATTTGAAGCAACACACCTAATTACTCAAGCAATTTAAGTAAAAAAGAAGTAAAAGAACCAACGGAAAATGATATTACTGTGTTTTTCTTACTCATCAAATGTATTTTACTCATTCGTATTAATATATAACATTGTTATATGATATTAAAAAAAATTAAAAAATTGAGGCTCCATAAATCGCGTGTTCGGTTCTGTACAACATATTGAACCTCCTAAAAAACGACTCTAAGTATTGATTATGAGTACTTTAAGGAATGGAAATGTCAAATCTTTTGGATAGCTAAATAAGAACATTTGACAAAATATTGTGGGAAGGAGGGAGTATTGTTTCCGATTTTCTCTATATTTTTTAATGGTGTATTTTTCAATTCCTTGATTCCATTTCTCCCGTGAAGGATTTTTTTCCTTGAAAGGAAAATGCTTGTTTTTATATGATTGAAAAGATTTCGTGACACATTTTGATTAAAAATGATGGAAAAGATTTTATGATACATTTTGATAAAGAAAATGATGCATCCCTCAGAATTTAAAATATGTTTTCTTGAAAAATGTTGTAATCATTTAAGTTAACTTCGCAGTTAGGGGTGGAAACAGACCAGGCCAGGCTTTTGCCTAAACAAGTCGGGCCTGTTTTAGAATTAATAGGCCTAAGCCGTTACCTGTTAAAGGTCTGATTTTTCGGCCTGAGTCTGCCTGTTTCAAAGCCTCGCCTGGCCTGTTTAGTGGATCAGCCTGTTAAGAAAAAAATCAAAAGTTCATAAAATAAAAAATAAATATTGAAAAATCATCTTAACCCGATATAAAATTTATCCCTCGAATATTCACTAAAAAGTCTAATTATACGGTAGTTTTGCTTTGAATGTCCAATAATACAATTTTTTAATACGTCAATTATGTAGCTTATAAATTTTTATGTTCTTCAAATCTTGAAAAACTTTGAATTTCAATTACCCTATTAACACACTTATGATATTTCAAATAGCTAGTATTCTAATTTATAATACATACTCCATAAAAATACTATTATGCCTAATTTGATATAGTTAAGTATACTAATATATAATTATAAATCATCATAATTTTCATTTACCCCAGTGCCGCAAAGGCTCCCACCGTAGGTGGGGTAAGGGGGGGTCGGATGTACGCAGTCTTACCCCTGTACTAAAGCACAGAGAGACTGTTTCCGGATGACCCATAGTGAAAATCGCGTCCGAAATTGCATGGACTGACTACTGCTTCATAACAAAGAAGCGCAGACAGTTTAGTGAGCCATTTTGCTTTATTCCATCATATTCTCAAGCCAAAAAATAATGAATCTTTGGCTCCATTGCAGATGATGGAAAACTAATATATAATTATAAATAATACAAATAAATTTAAATATAAGTAAATATATACATATACAAATATATATACACACACACACATATATATATATGTTTATATATATATATATAAATATATATAAATATATATATATATAGAGAGAGAGAGAGAGTCCCGTTCGAGTCAGGCGCGCTTGACCGGAAGGCCCGTGCGGCCTTCCTTTTTTGGGTGCCTTCCCGGTGCAATTTTTTGATGAAATTTTTTGAGCATGTTCCTCATTAAGTCTAGTTTATCCATACAAAATTTCAGCTCAAAATTCGATCGAGAAGGCAGTCAAATAAATTCTTGAAACATACTGCACTTTATATATGCGCAGAATGCCCAGTATGTTTCAAGAATTTATTTGACTGCCTTCCCGGTTGAGTTTTGAGCTGAAATTTGGTATGGAGAAAATAGACTTGATGAGGAACATGCTCAAAAAATTTCATCAAAAAATTCCACCGGGAAAGCACCCAAAAAGGGAAGGCCGCACGGGCCTTCCGGTCAGGCGCGCCTCACTCGAACGCCCCCCCCCCCCTCCCCCCGTCTATATATATATACACACATATAAATAGGCCGGCCTATTAAGCTAAAGAGGCTTCATAGTTGGGCTAAGTCTGGCCTATTTAAATAAATTTACATGACATGCTTGATTAATGAGTAGAGTACAAGTTTTTTTACAGGTAAACAATCGGTAAAAAGGGTCCAATGCACACTCCTAAACTATTAAAAAGTGTCAAAACTGCAATATATCAAAAATAAAAAATAGAAACAATAAAAAAGACCGATTGTTTACTCCTAAAAAATGAAATTTGAACCATTTTTTGTCGGTTTGGGATGCGAATTGGACCTTTTTTTAATTTAGAACTGAATTGAGCTTGCACGACCGGTACAGGGGCATATTTGACCCTTTAACCAAGGAAAAATGAAACGGATGAAAAATTGAGTACTAAAAAGAGAAAAATGCATTGTTTACTTAACCGGAGATCTAGAGTAACCATTGAAAAATGAGAGTTTGATTCTTCAAAAACATGAGTACTTACACAAGATGAAAGAACTAGAGCAAAAGTAGGATGATAATTGATTATGAAACATTAGAGTAACCAATCATACAAGAGTCCACTCGATACTAAAAGGATCAATTCTATGAGATTAAGAGATTTACATAAAACTGTCAAATACGTAGTAGAAGAGTATTCAAAATCAGAAAGTAAGTCTGTTGTTAGAGGAAAGTTGAACAACTCAAAGAAGATTAAAAAAAATCAAAAGAACTCGAAGAGGGTGGTTGAAGTGTTGAACGCCACTCATAGTAGACACCTAATGCTTCGGTTACATACTTCACATATCTTATATATATATATATATAATATATATATATATATATATATAATGTAAGTCAAAAAATGTTACCGATTGTTTACCCGTAAAAAATGAAATTTGAACCTTTTTTATTAGGTTGATTCGGCAAATTTGCTGAAATGTGATAAGATAAGATAAGATAAGATAAGATAAGATATGTGAAAGTATAGGTTCAAACAATAAAAATTTCAACTTTTCAACTTTGTTACTTTATATTAGGTTGATTCGGCAACTTTGCTCGAATCGGTTGGTTTTGCTGAAATTTATGAAATTCTAGCTGATGTGATTGACTCTGTTGATTTATGAAAAATATTATATTTCAAATATATATTTTATTAATAAATCAGAGAAAAATTTATATGAAAAATAGCTAAAATCGTTCTTTACAGTAACATCAGCCAATTTAGCCAGAAAGTAACTAATTCAACCTAACTTACTTTGATTATTAAACAATTAGCCGTGCAAAATCAAAAGTTACGTATTTGGTAAAAGTTGATTGATAAGTCAAAAAACAGAGTAATCAAACGGGTAATAAATCACTAATATTCTCAAGTAAGCTAAAAATTTGAGAGTACATTTCAACAATGGCATTAATTTTGTCTCATTTCAACAAATGTAATACTTATATTTTTCCTTTTATGTAAGGCAATTTCAGGATTTAGATATATCGAGTGACAAGCTCACGAAAATATAATCCGATTATACTAAATGAGTGGTGCACTGGTGCTTAGCTAACAATAATGTCTTAGCTTGATGTGAACTTTGTTTTTTTTTGTAATAACACATGTTAAGTATTTATATAGACGAGATTTGTGTACCCAATTGTTCACTTTCAAGATACAATGATAAAAGAAATGGTGTATAAATTAAGAACTCTAAATATTAAATAAGTCAACAAATCATGAATCCTATAAGGAAAATGCTAAAAGTACAAACAAACTTACAAAAATTTACAAACAGGTGATATAGCTATTGTCATGACTTTTGATGTAAAAGTAATGTGATGTGTTATATAATGTCATGGTGCCGCATAGGTCTTTTGTAAGACTTTTTGTAAGATTGTATATATCTGTAGCATAACTCATCCTATAAATGTGTGACTTTATTGATTAAACCAACTTTTCTAACCATAGGAGTCGGTACATGATCTTGAATGACAAAAATATATATATTTGTCTCACCAATTTATATTATCATAATCACCGCCTAAATCAAGTTATAAGAAAATGTCTTTTCATTAGGCCTGAGACCGGTTCGGTTCCTCATAAAAATCGAAAGAACTGCTAAGAAAATCACAATTCATGATATCGGTTCGGTTCCAATCAAAAAAATGTAGAACCGTTATGGAACCAATTCTATTGTTAACGGTTCGGTTCTTATCATTTATCGGTTCTTAAAAAACTATAAACTCTTAGTTTCCGCCACAAAAAAAAACACCACAAACTGTAATCAATCAAGCTATAACCCCATTTGAAATAACCATCAAATTTAAATTTAAATTGACACATAAAAGTTCAATTGCTCAAAAAGAAAAAAAGTGGAGCTTAAAAAGCAATTATAATTCCAAAATTAACAATCTGCAATTATAATCTACAATAAAAGAACATATGCCCCTTACCAATTCAACCAAACAAAAAATAGAAAGCTCCTAAAAACAATAGGAAGAGGATGGTGTGATGCTTTGTCATTACAGTAGCAAAAAAATCCCAAGCTAAACAATCTACAGAATGGGCCCCGAGACACGCAATAATCTTTGTATTGAGAAAGTTGTCAATTGAAATTTCTCATTAACTACTTGCTGAAAAAAACAGTAAAGAAATAGCTAATCTCAAGCACTGTTGACTACTCAGTCTAAATATATATATATATATATATATATATATATATATATTAATTATGTATAAGTCAATATAATTATATATATATTACATAAACCATAAACCAGCCAAATTAAAGAGACAAATACACTTGTAAATTAGTGAAGTATGGGCTTAGGAGCAGCTGGACTGCTGGAGTAGTTGTATGCAATCAGACTCACATTTAGAGTAGTTATAACTACTCCTATGTTTTGTAGAATTAGTTATATGCAATCAGGATCACTAAAATCAACAAATTAAGGTCCTAAACTAATATCCATTAACCCCTTTAGTAGGGTAAATGATAGTTTTTTCTATCTTTAATAGAATTATGAAATACACACTCAATCCAACATTAATCTTTATATGAGATTACATACTTATGAAAAACACATCACTAAGTAGTGCTCTTTGAGTTATTCACAGGGTAGTTCAGATTAATACATTAGTTGAAAGAATATCTCATAGAGACACTTTAACAAACACCTTATAGTGTTATAGGCATCCCCGAAATTGAGAAAATTTGACAAAAACTTCTTCATAATTTACCCCTAACATAAAGAAACCAAATACACTCTTCAAAACTATACACAAAATATATACCATAACCAAACCTTGGAATGAAGAAAAAAATGATGTGAAAGCATAAAATGGAACCCTTAACGAAATATGGTCCTTCTCAAGTATTGGGTTCATGAGTTGGTAACTGTCAAGCTATATATCAAATTTAAAGAAACTAAACAAATATTTGATAAAACAATCACACACAAATTGAACTTGAAGTATTAAATAATTAAATATCAGATGTTTAGCTTAGAAACTTCATTACCTAAATATGGAGGGATATCAGCGGTTAGTGAAGTGGGAGAAGCATTTGGCGGGGAAGAAGCAGTGGTCGACGTTGAGCGGCGGTCGAAGGCGAAGGAGCGGCTTTCAGCTGGGTATCCGCTAGTTTTTGACCTTTGCTCTGGGGGAAGTGTTGTGGCATGTAGTTAGGGAAGCGGGTTCAATACCCAGTTACGTCCAATTTTGTTTCTTTCATTTGTCATTTAAAAGTTATCCCAACTTTACTTAATTTTGGATACTTTTGTTTGGTTTAGAAGCTGTTCCGTTCGTCTTAATCTTATTACTTATTCCTTAATCTTATTTTATTCAGATCAGATCAGATCAGATCAGATCAGAAAGATTAAAATCAGATCAGATCAGATCAGAAACATTCAGATCAGATCAGAAAGATTCAGATCAGATCAGCAACATTCAGATCAGATCAGAAAGATTCATACCAGATCAGAAACATTCAGATCAGATCAGAAACATTCAGATCAGATCAAAAAATTCAAACATGATTTATCACTTTTATTATTATATTAATTATGATTATTATATTATAGTTATTGTTAATAATATTAATATATTAATATAATAATATTATTAATAATAATATAATAATAATGTTAATAATATAAAATTATTATTATATTATAATAATATAATATAATATAATATAATATAATATAATATAATATAATATAATATAATATAATATAATATAATATAATATAATATAATATAATATAATATAATATAATATAATATAATATAATATAATATAATATAATATAATATAATATAATATAATATAATATAATATAATATAATATAATATAATATAATATAATATAATATAATATAATATAATATAATATAATATAATATAATATAATATAATATAATATAATATAATATAATATAATATAATATAATATAATATAATATAATATCATATAATATAATATAATATGATATAATATGATATGATATGATATGATATGATATGATATGATATGATATGATATGATATAATATAATATAATATAATATAATATAATATAATATAATATAATATAATATAATATAATATAATATAATATAATATAATATAATATAATATAATATAATATAATATAATATAATATAATATAATATAATATAATATAATATAATATAATATAATATAATATAATATAATATAATATAATATAATATAATATAATATAATATAATATAATATAATATAATATAATATAATATAATATAATATATTTATAATTATAATTATAATTATGATTTACAATGTAATTATAATTATAATCATCATTACTATTAATATGATTGTTGTTCTTGTTGTTATTTTTGTAATTATTATTACTTCGGAGTAATTATATATTTAAATTAGTAATTATAGATATAACTATGATTATAGAGATAAATATTATAATTATAATTACAAAAAAAAAATTATAAAATTAATCATAATTAAAAATATAATTACATTTATAATTGTATCTGTATTTATAATTAGTGTAATTGGTATAATTATTATAATTTTAAATTTAATTTTAATTATTTTTTTTATAATTATGATTATAATTGTAATTTTATTTAAGTTATATTTTTAATTACAATTATAAATCTAATAATTATAATTACAATTACAATTATAGAAATATTCAAATCAGATCAGAAAGATTCAGATCAGAAGAATTCAGATCAGATCAGAAACATTCAGATCAGATCAGATCAGATCAGCAACATTCAGATCAGTTCAGCAACGTTCAGATCAGATCAGAAAGATTCAGATCAGATCAGAAACATTCAGATCAGATCAGATCAGATCAGAAAAATTCAAATCAGATCAGATCAGATCAGAAAAATTCAGATCAGATCAGAACTTAAAAAATTCAGATCAGAAACATTCAGATCAGGTGAACGGAACAGCTTCTTAGTCTTAATATATTCTTTGAAAAAAGGTCAAATACACACTTCTACAATTGCAAATAGATCACATAGATCCATGTACTTTAAAAAGCATCATATAAACTCATCTACTCTAAAAAAATAAGTCAATTAAACCAAAATAACAAAAGGTAACTTGCAATTGAAGGTCATCCTCACATTTTCTCTCTCCTTATTATTATTATTTTATTTTTATTTTCTTTTCTTTTGTATTGCCTGCTTACAATCTGTCAGACCAACGGCCACCCACAATCTGCCTGCTTACCGAATTTTTGATAAAAAATTACACACCCAGGAGGGGATCGAATCCCAGACCAACGGTTGAGGAATGTAAGATGCAAACCAACTCAACTACTTGTCTGTTTGTTTAATAAATTGTCTCCCCATGTATTTATAGTTTTACGCATTACATTTTTTTTAATACAAATAAATTTGTAAATATAATACTCCATTTCGTATTTAAAAGTTTACTACATTTTCTCTTTTTACTAAGTTTTTCCTTTAAAAATACTTAATTAATCCCACTTTTTCTACTCGTTATATTCTCCTTTCTACTTTTCCACAGTTTAAAAATACAACATATAATACATTTCTTTTTTTACTCCAGGGGTGGCTGGGGGGAGCCTGGAGTAATCAGGGCTGAAATTCACTTCATTGAGTTTCCAACCCTTGTGTGCCTAGGCACGGTAATCTCACAACAAGTTGGGCTGGAATGCTTGGTTTAATACATGTCTTGTCTTATATACTGTATTTTTGAATTGTGAAACGTTTTAAACACGTCGTGTCTTTATTCATTCCATGAACGATGAAATGTATATTTAGTCATATTTGTATCGTATTGTACACAAATGTACGTAATATTGTACTATTCATGAACCGTATAATACTAACCAAACACATGGATCAGTAATGATAGCAATATTTGGTCATGGTCAACCCGGTTAACGCAAAAAAAAAAAACAGCCAATATTTTGTGAAAAATAAACATAAAATATAATTCATTATATATTAGATTAAAGAGAAAATAACATAAATGGGAGTAACCCAATGACTAAATGTTTCGAATCTTTCACAAATACTCTATAGTTTATTTGTATAATACTCCTATAATACAATCAATAAAAAATGAAATACACATAGTTTTTTTTAGGCAAAAAAAAACTCGTTGTTATTACTCCCTCCGTATTTAAAGGATCACTATATTAGGTATTGACATAATATATTAGGGAGAAATAGTAGGGGTAATGAATAGATAAGAGTAAGTGAGAAAGTGGAAAAATAGAAAAGAGAATATAACAAGTAGAAAAGGTGGGATTAATTAAGTATTTTTAAAGGAAAAACTTATCATAAAGGGAAAATGTAGTAAAATTTTAAATACGGAATGTAGTATTATATTTACAAATTTATTTGTATTAAAAAAATGTAATGCGTTAAACTATAAATACATGGGGAGATAACGTATTGAACAAACAGACAAGTAGCTGAGTTGGTTTGCCTCTTACATTCCTCAAACGTTGGTCTGGGGTTCGAATCCCACTGTGTGAGTAATTTATTTATCAAAAACAAAAAGTCTTGGTGTACACCCTGGGTTACACCCTGGAGTACACCATATATAAACCTTCTTTTTTTACTGCTTTCTTTACCCCTCTTCTCACACAGCTCTCCCATCCCCATTCCTCACGCACATTTCTTTCTCTCCCACATCCCTCTTTGTTCGTTCTCTTCTTCCCACCTTTCTCTCTGTTTTTTATTTTTTCTTTCCAGATATTATGGATGATTTTCTAGCATATTTGATGGTGGATGGAGAAGTGACCGGAAACGATGGAGGTTTGGAAGATACCCCTTACCTGCGACGGATGACGGACAACGGAAATGGAAGAAACGTGGAAGCTCTGGACGTCGAAAATGGGGGAGCTGTGAACGAAGAAGATGGAGTTGCGAACGGAAATGGTGGATCTATGAATGAGGAAGATAGATGGTGGTCCGAACAACCCTAGGGACGAAGACTTAGGTGGGACGGGTGGCACACCTGTGACACAAGGCGTCAACGAAGTTTTGATATTTGACGACCGAGATGATTACAGCTGTGACGGGAAGAGAATAGCAGGGAGAACATGAACACAGATGTTGAAGGTATTTTCTTTGACATACAGACAACTTACATACTCAGTGTCGGTGTGTACCGACAACTAATGTCATTGTGTACAGAGTAGTGTCGGTATGTATAGACAACTAAAGAAATCCTCATTGAGTTGATGCATACCTACAAAGATGAATGTTGTATCTGTGAATGAGTTAATCACTAGTGTTCAATTTACCCTTATTCAGATTCTCTAAGTGGAAAATTTATAGAGGAGTTATTTTTAATGAGTGCATTGACAATAATAAAGTGTTCAAAGTTTGTTTCAGTTTATCACCGTAATGACTTCGTCAATGAGTCATTGTAAACAGATAATACAAACAGATAGAATATATATTTCCTTAATCTCCTAGCCATATCTAAAAGTTACCGATTGGAAGTTACTAAAGGTGTATTCTACCCGAAAATGATCTTTTTTCTTTCCTTTTGTTTATAGAGAGCAGATGCATTACTTATTTTAGAGGGATGTGGTGACAGAGGTGTGGAGATAAAAATACTTTATGCTAAGTATGAAAAAAATTCAAATGGGTGTGCTTAAAATGTATGTAACTTTCAAGAGTGACGAGGTCATGGAAAGCTATAATTTATCGTTTCTATTTTGTTTGATGTTTGTGAAGAAAGGTATCTTTATGCCAAGGTGTGAAAATGGAATCTAGCTTCATTTGTTCAACCATGCAAAATTATGGAAAATAAGATTTTCCTATCAACTTATTTCAGACAAAACACAATTAGGATCAACTAGGACTTTCACATAGGGTTATAATGGGGTCTGTGGGATTGGCTTATGAACAAAGGGAATTAATGAGGAAACAAAAGAAATGAACTTGACATAGATTTAACAAATTTAGAGAGGTACTAAGTAGTGAGTAGTAGCTTTTGACAATAATCTATACAACATTTGTTATTTTTAATTGTTAGGGGTAGTAAACTAGTAACTAGTAAAAAAAAGTAAATTAATGTACAAAAAAATATACAAAAGAGAGAAGCATATACATGGATAATTAGCCTTGTTTAGATTTTTTTATTCTTTTCATTTTCCTTTTTTTCTGTTTTTTTTTACTTCATTTTCTTTTTATTCTTGTTTAGATGGAGCTGCGA